GACATATTGGACCACGCTGGCCTCAGCCAATCTACTGTCTCTCTGCGTTCCAATGGCGTGGGAGGAAGATATGCAGCCAACCAGAGAAAAACACTAATGAGGAGCAGTATAAAATAAACGGCGTAGTCCGCGTGGAGGACTCGGATGAATGGCGTCTGATGTGTGGTTCTGGCTTGTGACTAGTCAATAAAGCCTCCTCTGTTGTACCAGACTCCTTCATACTAGGGCTCGGGTATTCTACAGTCGCGACGTAAAAGGGCGTAGACGTATTGGACAACTCTCGCCTCAGCCAATCCTCTGTCTCTTTGCGTTCCATTTAAATACGAGGAAGACTTGCACCCAACCAGACATACCCTATCAGAAATGGTATATAAAGCGTGGCGCAGCCAACCTGGAGAATTCGTAGGAATGGTGCTTTGTTTTGGCCTATGGTTGGTCAATAAAGCCTGTTTTGTTGTGTCAGTCTTCTTCAAACTAGGGCTCGCATACTCTACAATTCAGCGTCGCCACACAAAGTGGTGCAGACAAATTAGGTCACACTGGCCTCAGACTTTATGCTTTCGGAAGGATTGTGAAGAGGATCAGCAGCTAGCCAGAGTCAAGGTCGGGTTAAAGACAGTATAAAATGAACTACACAGCCAGCACGTTGGACGCGAAGCACCTAGTTTGCAGTTTATCTCATGATTAGTCACGGCTGCTCTAGTATTTTTGTATTTTGGCACGGCTATATTAAATTGCCTCTACTATAAGGCGCAGTCATTTTTGGTCACATAATAATTAACCAATCAGTCAGTCAGTTTATAATTATCATAAGGAGGGTATTATTCAAATAGACACAGTGATGACTGAAAAGACTATAATATCGGTGGGTATTTGAGATCAAACCGGTTTTAATGGCCATTTATTCAAATAGATTGAATAGATTGCATCTACTTTAGACCATGTTTAAATAAATGTCCAAGTGTCACGCACGCCACCTTCCACGTCATCAAACACTATTCATTACTGTCAACATCTTCCCACACTTTTACCATTTTAGACCTGCCCAACAAATAGGATATGGATCTTAGCGTGTCTCCTAAATTGTGTTGTCAAGTTGGCTTTCCCTCCCTTCCATTCGCCTTGTAGTTTCCAGTCCTCATCCCATACTGTACTCCGTGCGTCTCGACCGTACATGTCGGGTCGACTTTCAGGTAGTCCATCTCTTGATCTAGGATGAATCCCTGCTTGCATGTAACACAGTTATTAAAAAGATGCTAGTTATTTACGGTTTTTTAACTTTCCTACAAAATGTAATCATTTCAGTGAAATACTTCTGTAAAAATTTTCGACGCTGGAAATATCTTTGACCATAATAGCTCTCCCCACATAAGACCCTGAGAACCGGTACATAATTTGCCACCAGCCTTTGCGCTCACACAATGTTTTGTCCCATGACGAAGCACAGAGTATTAAAGAATTATGACAGAAGCGACGGAAGCCCAGGCGTTCATTGCAGGCGTGGCAAATATTTGGCACGAAATAGCAGACGCTTAGGGAACGCTTGGGGTCCCTCCTCTGAAAAAATATCGATGCATGAAATGCATTTTAAGTTGGTCGATTGATTTCTTGTTTGCTTATGCTTGGTAATAATGTTCACATGTTTGTCGCCACAAGTATAAAGTTGGCGAAAAAAATTTGGAAAGCGTTGAAAGTAAATAACGGCTTTCTGATTTACCTCGTATATTGTGTACCAAGCACCGATTCTTGGAAATAAATCCTTGAAATTTTACGCCAAAATCTCCTTGCGGCTTAATGGAAACAATGCGGGCTAATGTTGGAATATGGAGGGCAGTTTTTCGTATTTTTGGTAATTGAGTCTTTCGGACAGCGAGTACGAAAAATGGTGTGATACATTACAATCAGTTGATGGTCCATGGTTTTTTTTCATTTACTTCACTCTCACCCGATATCAGGTTTCTCTCTTTTTTGTACCTTAAACTGTTGCAAAATAGGGTTCCATTTGTAAAAATCGAAAAAACGGAAAACACGTGAAGCAGACCCCCAGCTGACGTGCATTAATGGAGGCTTGCCACTAGACGGGGGTGGCGTCATCATGTGATCGGTAGAGTGACTTCTAGTTTTGTGAACATGTCGAGACGTTGCTAACGCCACCTTACAACCGTCTTATTAACTGACCTTAGAAACGCGAGGGCAGGGAGATAAGGGAGGCGACAGCGGATACGACAGTCTTTTCGAGTCAAGCCGGGCAAGTGTCCTTGTGTCTGTGTGAACACGCTTGCTTAACAGGTGACTACTAACAGGATCCAGTAAAGGGAGTGAGTCCTTGGTATTGTCGGACCAGTAAACAGGCATCGCTCATGCGAAGGCGACGGCCCGTCCACTACAAGCAGTAAGGGGTCGAATCGGGCGTAAAAACTCCCAGTATCTAAGCTCCTTGCTATTCGTTTTTCTGATTTCTAGAATCTCCAGAGGTATCAATTAGAGACGCGGAAAACTAAGGCTGAGCTACGGGAGGAGGCGTAAGCCTACAACCTTTGACTTTGGCCGAAGAGTGTATTTTAAGTTACCCTGCTCTCTATTATACCTTCTGTTATACCTAAGTTCACTGCTTTAGCATTCTATAAACACACTCAGTACCCACATACAGCGACGCATCACGCCTGAGCGGTGAACAAACTGCCATATTCACCGTACCGTGTTGTCCTCCCATTTCCTTCGTTGTTTTTCGATTCTTTGGGTGACATCTTCGACCAGGGCTGTAATGCAACTTATCACTGCTACCCATGTACGACTATGATGACTCGCGAATACAATAATGCCAAATAATGTATGTGCTGTGAGATTTCCGCTTGTTGTAGCATGACGTTCTGACGTTTCGGTAGCCAAGTTTAAATCACTTATTGAAATGATAAGAAAAAACAGTGATGATAGTAAGCAGGCTTGTAATAAGTTACATGTAAATAGTCCTTTGGAAGCGTTGCTGCGATAAAAAAATTGTTGCAAAATATGGAGAATAGCAGAGAAAGTAATACCGGAAAATCAAGGCAAGTTCTGGGGTTATCCTTCTTTTCATTCCGAATATGGGGGATCCAGAACACTACAAATGATAAAGCGAAATTAGGAAAAAGATGTGAAATTTACACGTGGTATCTTAGCATGATGTGTATGACCGTGGTCATTTTATTACCCCAATGACCAGCAATTAGTTACAGAGAAACAGCACATTTGACATTCCCCCTGCCGAAAAATGGTTCTATGTTACTGGCACTAATGCAACAAACACAACGATCAGGGGTGATCGCTTTGTCCTGATATACGATAACTGTGAACAGCACCTGGCTTTCTTAAGCTATTGTGAAAGAATGGCATAAACGATGTGAATGAACATCGAGTTGTAGAACATGGAAGGTTAAAGTAAAATAATTTCTGTGAAAGATTAAAAAGATCGATTAGTGTTACCACTATTGTGCTTTATTCACGCCAACATCGCCTGCTTAAGTTATGCGCGGTTTACGTGTACATTACGTTACGACATTCCGAAATATTTTGGAACATGCGAATTCGGTATTTCCGTAATAGGTTTCGATGAACATCGCAAGACCAAACACCAAAAATTGCCACCAGTCAAGGCCTTTAATTGCATCATATACTTTATTTTTTTCCATTATAGCGTTACGAGTCTCTCTGTATTATAGCCATTTCCACAGCCACGACCAATAATCGGAAAAATTGTAAACTTTTAAGCTACTAACATACAAAATCCACTCCAACAGATAAATGGCTAGCAGCACTTACCACAGCGATATAATTTTGAGATTTCAGGAAAGCATAATTAAAGATGTTAAAAAGTGGGTAAAGAATATGGCGACACACTGTATACTTTGCAATTATATTAAACCTACCCCTATTTTTATACTTTACCAGTAACACAAAAGTATACACGATTCACTAGATTAGCGAGGTATCAAGTAGCCAGAAAAAAAGACCAGAAGACTTACTCACAACCTTAATTCACAAGAATTGTAAAGCTTTGTCATCAAATCGCGCAAACGCTCACTGTATTGCTAAAAATGATATTACAAAAATCACCAATTGTCCGATGCCACAACCTTCCAGATAAGAGTTTCGACACTAGGCAAACCACTTCTGCAAGATGTAACCACGTACAAACAGTGAAAAGATGATATAATATACCTAACCCAGTTCATTTGGGTGTATAGCTGATTAAGTGACCCAAGTAACAAACAGTTTCAATAAAATGCTCTGAAATTAAGCAATTGGTTTATTCTCACCTGAACGTGGTTCGCATAAGTAAGCATCAGAGTTACCCCAGTACTTTTAACAGTTCAAAGGCTAGATCGAGTGTAACAAGGAAACACTAAAAAAGATTATTGGCTGCCTGAGTTCAGCCTATAATCAGCTCAACTAGACGGCACAACAAGCACCCCAAAACGACTGAAGCAACAGCTGTGGCAACTTAAGCCGCATGAAAATGCAAATCAACCATAATTGCACGGGCAACTGGTTTCAAACAAGGTACATGAACAACTGCATGTCGGTCCCAACCAGAGTAACCTACTTTTATTTGAAATATTGCTTTTTTAAGCTTTAGAAAAGTTATTTCGAAAATAACACCGCTTATTATACTCACCTTAATATCCTTCAGCCTAGAGCCAGCAAGCTGGTTTGGAAGAGCTCTAAAACAAAATGAATAAAGATGCTTTAACATAATGACTACACACATAGGATGAACAATCGCATAAGACACAAAAGTCATGGTGCATAAATGACTAAAAATTAAGATGTTTTTTTTTCCAATATACAAGACGGATAGCCACTTTACTCAAAGTTTACCGGTTGCGGCAACATTACAGGAAAGTTGCCTCCACGTGGAAATTAGAGAACTTATAAAAAATATAAATAACTAAGCAAAGAAGAGGAGTTTTCAGATGTCAGCCCATACATTTACTGAACAAATTAACCTTTTACTGAAAATCTTACACTTCAGGTATGCCGGCTATAAGAAGCTCATTATCACCCAGGCTCTCGGGAAAAAGATGAAACTCTATGGGCTCCACAGAACGAAAACCATTGTCAAAAATAGTTTTGAAGAGGTGCTGAGTCACGTTGTTATTATTATCCGATTCAATAAGGCAGAAAAAAAGTGCCCCTGGAAAGAGGCTGGCAAGATCATTGACACTAATGTCAGTCCGAAGTTTCTTTTCACGACACCGAAAGATGCCGATTGGCTTTCCAAACGAGGAAAATGGTAACTGCCCAGATCTCAACGCGCATGGCATCGCGGCTGTGATGACTAAAGAAAACGTTTGGGGAATAATACAGCAATATAATTAGCATACAAATTCTTGGGGAGGTTTCTTGCACGCTTCCAATAAGGAGACCCTCCTAGAAAAAAACAGGAGAACAATAAACCAAACATCCCTACCTTGAATTCTGGATCTCCAAAAGCAAATGCATTCAGTGAGGCATAGCAAGTCGTGGACATAAAAACCTCCATTTTGCAACCAACTGAAATGGAAAGAATCCACGCATGGACTTAAGTACAACGTTCGGTTAGAATCCACCTCAAAATTTTAAATGGCATTCTAGCCTTCTTCTACATAATTTTGATCACAACAAACCAAGAGATTAACTGATGATCAAGCGAAATAGATGCGAACGCTGTAGTGATCATATAAATAGCACACATTCACCTCACCGAAGTACTAGACAAAAAACAAACCGATGCCATCAAAATTTCATTGTCACTTCAGTTGCTTTTAAGATAATTCCAGATAAATGCTACTAGTAAAAATTTCAGGATGCTGAACTGCAATGCTTCACAATTTAGGCGATGAATACACCATTCGAAATAGCGCATTTTAAAACACAAAATTAACCATCCTATATCTTATCTAGAAGGCTGCCACCTCAAAAACTCTTACGACTTGTTCAAGAATAAATTTTATTTCTGTAACATGAAGAACAGGGCGTTTTGCGACAGGTACCACAGATAACGCGTAGGAATGGGAGCAGCACAGATGACGCAAGCACAAGTTACTACTTAAATACATCTACCTATACAGCTCTATGGGTAACTACAAAAAACAAGGAAACAATGAATTGATGTCTGGAGGTTTTTTAGTGAATTCCAAACCATACTAATAATATCTGCATAAAAGAATTTCACAAAGCAAACTTGGAACCCAAACTAGCCATTAAAATCTCAGTCAGGACTTAAATCTTAGATGACAAGGAAGGTGCACAAGCAATAAAACAGCGAAAGATGGAAAATAGTAATTTTGCAAGAACCACAACTAAACCAAAATTACATTATATTTGTCAACGTGGGTTACTGCAACCTTAGCCCAGATTCCGAAGTAGACTCGCATGCAAGAAGCAAATAAAACAAACAATTCCATGCCCAAATAAAATGATCTATCAAAAGTTAATAAGTTGTTGCTCATCACTATTTAGTCAATAACAAAAATTATTTTTTACACTAAGTTTTTAAAATTTTGTTTAAAAAAGGCCTTAAGTAGGGTTAAAAAAAGTTAAGTAGTAATTCCCGATATTTTGTTTAGCACTATACATGATACAAATTGCGAAAAACCCACTAGATTTAAAAAAAAGGTATGTCACAGATAAATCTTTGCAAACTTTACTTAAATAATATAAAAAAAAGTACAAACCACAAATTTGTTTCTCAAATTCATAATGTTTTACTTGTAGTTTTATAACTTTAAAATCTGCAAATTATTTAAAAGCAAAAACATTTTCAACTTTGTATCCAAATTTCAAGATGGTAGGATCTAATTGCAGGGTTTTGGTCAATTTTTATGGTAAACTGATTTGTAAAAACTTCAATTTTCTTTCGATTTTATTAATTTAATGTATTCAGTACCCCCCCCCAAATCCACTGCAAATTCTGCGAATCAAGGGAATTTCACTTATCACGACTCCTATATTTGCCAGTTAGTTTTGATTAAGCGATAAACGCATTAGCTTGCAAAGGTTGCATGACGACTAAAAAATCTTGGAGTGTATTTTTAAAGGATAATATGTTTATTATTGACAAATCGTAATTTCTTATGGATTTTTTTTCTGAAATTATATTTATCGTGTTTAAATTCAACGAATGTTATAGTTTATCTTGCTACATTGTTAAATAATCAAAGATTATGCTAAGCACAGTAGTTTAGCAAATTGTATAAATGAAAATCTATTAAAATTTCGGCGCATGTTGTGATTTTTGCCTGAATTTCAACATAGAGTTGGATAAGTTGCTGCCATACTTCTGCGTATTTATAATTTAGTCATTATAATGATTCCCTTGCAATGCAAAACAAAGAAATTATCTAATGCATATATATAATATTCTTATTCTTTTGTTTCTCAAACTCGGGCCCCTTACACCGTTATCCTTCTTTAACTATTTTTGCTTTTTGATTTGCGCACGAAGATAGTAATTGCTGCAGCAACGCGCATAGGTTTGTTTAGTTTCAGTTAATCACGATGCCTCTATATACTCGATTTTATGTGCAATAAAAACGTTGCAATGTCAAAACGTCTAATATTTGTTTTGCCACCAATATTTTTTCAATATTGTACCAGTTATATATTTAGGGGTTGCGCCCTTCTTTGGTTATTTGCCCCGAATTCCGTGACTGTGTGTTGCAAATATAAGATTAAAAGCAAATCAATTGTACATCCAGTCTGCAGGACAACAGTGGACCTGCGACATAACTGTCACGTCATAAATTTAGTCGATATTTTTCTCGTAATAAAATGACTTAATTTTTATTCATTAATTTATTTACCAGAGAGATACTGAACATGGGGTGCATATAAATGTGCAGCCAACGTTATCTAAGACCTGTTTTAGGTGAGACACCTATACACTTCAAAAAAGAAATTTAAGTGCCTGAGATTTACAAATTGAGTTTTTGAGCAATGAAGTCTAGGCCAGCAAAATAAATGTTAGTAAGCCTTTAGCATCACCAAATTGAATATGTTTCTTACATTTTTACAATGATCAATGCCTATTACCAGGGAATATGGATGAAGTAACAAATAAAACACGGAAACATTTTTACAAATTAGTCCGCTCAGATTAATTAAATTTTTTAAAGAAGCCTAGATACTATAACAAAAAAACGTGGTAAATACTAAGGCTTTTTGTTAAAATGGCGTTAGCATTTTACCAACACTGTAATTTCCATATTTCGGTCACTAGGATAGAAACATCACATCTAAAAATATTTACATTGTGTATCTACTATATGAAAACAGTCAATTATAATAAGTGGCCAATTTAGCACAAATTGATTAAGGAAACTTAGTTTGCACTTAAAGCGCCTAGGCAATATAAAATATCACGGCATAAAATGTCATGAATCTTAAAAAAGTGAACATAGGCATAATTAGATTGGCTTTAGTTAAATACCACCCTCCAGACACTCTCAACAGCAACCAAAACAAAAGGTGATATTTATTAAAAATTATCTTTCACTTTACAGTCGTCTTTGGGTATAAATGACTCCCTACCTTACCTTTTTTACCAATAAAACAGGCTGTGAGAGAGGATTGGGCGAACTCAGTGTGATTCGACAGGTAGCGCCCTATTTCGCCAGTACATTGAAACCTCCTACAGGTGTAAAGCTAGTCCTATATTCTATCTTCTTTTCTTAAGTCAGCCCAATGTGAATAAATTCAAAATTTGATAAACTTGCAACAAAACTACACGCCAGACCCAAGCAGCTGGTACACACCGACCTTTTACTCTGGTTGACATGAAGGAAGTACGCGTCATTCTTTTCCATTTTCGAATATCTAAATCCGAGATTGGTACGACAAATCAGGATGTAATCACTAATCACTTCACGTATGAGTACGCCAGAAGTCATCCATTGGACTCTATGTACTTTCGCACCACTATACATGTTTTGTTTTTTATCGTTTATTATCTATGGTTAGCTGCTGACCTTATAAGGAAATCCCTCAAAGTAACTGAAAAACAGGATCGGCTAAGCTCGTTTTGATCCAATATGTCAGCGCACGCTTACGTCAGCACACCTTGTTTTGGTATACTTAAGACCTAAAATGATGAAGCCTGTTAAAACAGAATAGACATTATTGACTAATCACAGGCTAATTTAAAAACGGATCTGTCATTAGTTGGCTAGGTATCTTCCTCGCAAGCCATTGGAATGCAGAGAAATACAGCATTGGCTGAGCACCGCGTGATCCAAGGTGTCTGCGTCCTAATACGTTGCTGCTGTAGAATACCCGAGCCCAAGTATGAAGAAGACTGGTACAACAGACAAGGCTTTATTGACCAATCAAAAGCCAGAACCACAAGTCAGCCGCCTTCCATCCAAGACCCCGCGCTGGCCACGCCTCTCATTATATACTGCATCTCATCCATGTCCTTCTCTGGTTGGCTGCCTTCCTTTCCCGCATGCCATTGGATCGCAGAGAGACACAGGATTGGCTGAGTCCAGGTGGCCCAACATGTCTGCGCCCTAATCCGACGCCACACCACTGTAGAGTACCCGAGCCCTAATAGGTAAAATGCCGGTACAACAGAAGAGGCTTTATTGACCAATCAGAAGCCAGAGCCACACGTCAGGCGCCTTCCATCCGAGTCCACCTGTGGCGTCCGATTAGGGCGCAGACATGTTGGACCACCTGGCCTTAGCCAATCCCGTGTCTCTCTGCGATCCAATGGCATGAGGGAAAGGAAGGCAGCCAACCAGAGAAGGACATGCATGAGATGCAGTATATAAAGAGCGGCGTGGCCAGCGTGGTGGACTCGGATGGAAGGCGCCTGACGCGTGGCTCTGGCTTC